CCTAAAAAAAAAACAAGCCGTCTGCTGACATCATCAGAAGTAGTGGCCTGATCCAATCACAGTGCTTCCCCATAGGATTGGCTGAGATTGACAAGGAGGCAGATCAGGGGCAGAGCCAGCATGATTCAAACACAGCCCTGACCTCAGCATCTCCTAATAGAGATGAATTGAATCAATGAATCTCTATGAGGAAAGTTCGGTGTCTGCATGCAGAGGGAGGAGACACTGAATGTTTGGATGCATTTTAGGCAGCCATGACCCAGGAAGGATCTCTAACAGCCATCTGAGGAGTGGCCAGTGAAGTTATCACTAGGCTGTAATGTAAACACTGCATTTTCTCTGAAAAGACAGTGTTTACAGCAAAAAGCCTGAAGGTAATGATTCTACTCACCAGAACAAATTCAATTAGTTGTAGTTGTTCTGGTGACTATAGTGTCCCTTTAAGTTCAGCCACTCTAAGGCCTAGTAATACCTCTATTTAGAATATCTATTTGTGGGATTGCACATTTCCTGTAAATTAGGGTAAATCCCAGTGACAACAGCATCCATATAGAATGGCAACAGAGGACAATATAAGAAGATATCTATGGTGGGTATACAGTGTTGGAGTGTTTAATAGGATATTATGCTACCAGAAGAGAGATACATGGAGTGAATACCCTGAGAATGGTATAACAGGGTATTAGAGCATCCATTAGGGAGATCTCTTTAACTGGTGCTCAGCAATTGAGGTAAGTATAGTATGAAATGAGAATATCCATATTATTACTGCATATTTTAATATTATAGCTTGTTGTATTGTTACATCTCATTGTATTGTTACAGCTTATTGTAATATTTCCAGCTCAGTGTATTATTACAGCTTTTTTTATTATTATTATGCTCATTGTATTTTATTCCGAGATGCAATATAGTGAGCTGTAATAAAACAATTATTTGTAATAATATACTGAGTTGCAATCATACAATAAACTGTAATAATACAAGGAGCTGTAATAATACAATAAGTAGACATGTGCAATTCGTTTCATTCCAAATGTACATTCTTACGAATTTCATGCCATTCGCATGCTTACGAATGCCTGAAGTGCTGAAGTGCCGAATTTCGATAGTTCGGAAGTACCAAAGCTCCGAAATGCTGAAGTGATTGAGATTTCTTAAAAGTGGCAAAACAAGAGAGAGGGAGGGAAAATTACGTGAATGATGACAGGAATCTTGACCAATAAGCTAACTCCTTTTGTGCAATGTAATGCTTTCTTGCCCAATCCGGTTTCACTATTCCCTGTCCAATGAAATGAACAATAGACATGTGCATTTTGTTTAATTCCAAATCTACATTTGTACGAATTTAATGCCATTCAGACATCTGGATGCTTACGAATATCCGAAGCACCGAAGTGACGACGTTCGGCAGTTCCGGAATGCTGAACTGAGCTGAATGCCATTGGTCTGAATTGCCGAAGCAGACAATTTTTTTTTCCATGAACATCCCTAACAATAAGCTTTAATAATACAACAAGTAATAACATAACAAGCTGTAATAATATACTGAGCAGTAATAACACAATGAGCTGTAATAACACAATGACATGTTGTATCAGTGGTCCCTTTAATGTTTATCGTGCCATGTCATAGGGCTCAGTTTATGGGAACATGCTGCCTCCATGTTCGCAAAGCCTGCTTTTACTCATATCCTGTATAAAAACATCTTGAACATATTAAAAGGCTGATCATGTTTCATGTCTCGCAATTAAGGCATCGCTCTCCAAATGAGAAAAGACTCAAAGTCTAATCTTTCTCATGTCCTTCTCTGGGGAAGCAAGTATATGTTTCATCAGCAGAACTTAAATATGTATATTTCTACCACATGAGCTGCCCTTATTCTTATTATAATTAAATGTTTAGGAAAAGTTCCTCAAAATGTGCATAGATTCATAGACGCAGCTCATTGTAAAGTAAGTAAACTTGTGCCTGATGGAGTCAGGCTGCAATGCAATTCATATTTTATTTCACAGGGGGCGCTGTTGGCTCTTCAAGGGTTATTCTATAAACTGCAGATTGTAAGGATTACAAAGTTAAGACCAAAATAGTCAAACTGAAAATATACTCCAGCTCAGTTTGGCTACTTTGTCCTAATTTTAAAAATCCATTGCTAGGTTCCTGAAAATATGTTTTATCACTGACCCACCCCAATAAAATGGTAGGGCTCTGAAGTATATTTTTGTCATGCTTAAAAGAACAATATAGCAGCATTAGGAATACAAACGAGTATTTCTAACACTATATTGACCCTTTCCCTAGATAAATTCAGGCCCTCCCCAGCTCGTTTGTCATAAAAATATATTTAAAAAAAAAAAGCTTTTTAATTACCTTTTTGCAGTGCTGAGACTCAGCACTTCTCACCTCTCCACCTCTTGCAACATCATTGAGGGGGCGTCGCTTCTTTCATTGCTGGTCCAATCCTCATAGAGGAGCACTGGGGGACCTGATATACATGCACTATGAGTGCTGATTTTTAGTCAATCATACGGAAAGCATTGGATTGGCTAAAATTGACAAGGGGCGTGGCCAAACGCTGTTTTGGCCAATCAGAACCTCCTCATAGAGATTCATTAAATCAGGGCATCTCTATGAGGAAAATTCAGTGTCCCCATGCAGAGCGTGGAGAAGCTGAACGGCAGGGCTGCCTACTGTGCAGCACTTCCCCAGGAAGCACCTCCAGTGGCCATCTAAGGAGTGGCCACTTGGGGGTGTCCCTAGGGGCAATGTAAACACTGCCTTTTCTCTGAAAAGGCAGTGTTTGCATTAAAATGCCTGAAGGCAATGATTATACTCACCAGAACAACTAGATTAAGATATAGCTGTTCTGGTGACTATAGTGTCCCTTTAACGGTGCTTTAAAGAACTGGATAAATAATCATACCAATGATGTTTATAGGAAGAAAACAAATTACAATCTAGGTGAACAGGAGCAAAAATAATGCAGATGGGATCTTCCTAATCAGTGTGAACATATCCATTAACCTATAGAATTATATAGTTGGAACAGTTTAAGGAGGGACAGTGAAAGCTCTATCAGACCACTTCATTCCCAAATGATTATTTTTTGTAAATGCAGGATGTTTTTTCAATTGGTTGCCTGTAGGTGCCAAACATCATATCTAGGAGATATCATTCATGGTCAAGTTGCAGAAGTGGATAAAATATTGCTTTATAAAAATCAGCATTACCATGACAGTTATGTGGCAGTCTGCTGGTGGGTAGAACGTTATCACCAGCAACTAATAACATGTATTTGATCATTAAGTGGTAAATAATATGCAATATAAGGGCAGAAATGTATGGTTGTTTTTAGATTTGTTTTGGGCAATTTGGGTTAGACTCACGTTCAATACCTGAAGTCTGCGCAAATTGTATCTGAATCAAAAAAAAAAGACGTTTAATATCTGTTTTGTTTCTTTTTTTTTTTTTTTGCAGCAAACTGATTTGGTTCTCAACCTTCTGCTGAAATTCGGGTGCTGTGAAAAATGTTCTAAGTGAGCTGAATTTTCTCGCCATGCACAAGTCTAATTCTTGTATCACTGACAAGGTAAATGCCTCGTTGATCTAAATGATATTGTAGAGCTTGCCTACCAGAGATGTTACAGTCCATTCCAATGACTTTTAATATTAGATTTGCTTAACTGCTATATTTAATAAATGTGTTTGACGTGTTAAAAATTAAATGTAGGAAATTCACTCTTCTCTATTTACCTCTATCTTGGCTTCCTAGTTACTGTTATAAGCTCCATCCCTAGCACCTGTCAGTCACCATATAGAGCATACAGAGTGGAGGAGAAACAAACATAAGCAACTCTCTGTGTTCCTCCTCCACCAACACACAGTGTGCCCTGGCACTGTGCTGGGATTGAACTGAATTTGCCAACTCTTTACTATAGTTTTAAAAGAAAAGAGCATCATATGAGAAACAGGTAAACACCATCTGTACGTTTAATTCCCGTTTCGAAGTACATATCATCCATAGAGGTATGGGTCTAACAAATAAACAAGTAAAGTTTATCAAGATTTATTAATCAATTCATTTTCCCATTTTTCCCCTTGCCTTTCTTACAGCATAAAATGATTTGCTTGAATATCTTTCCAGCAAGTGACACCCTCAAAAAAACATAAGATGTTCAAAAACAGAAAGAAAGAGGAACATTCTTCTCGTATTCTTTCCAACCGATTGCTTGGGACGCCAGAGGTCAGGTTGACATTCGCTCGATCATTATCTTTGTAGAGATGTTTACCGGTTATCTGAATCTTAGATATTCTTGTACGTTTTATTCTTTTAGAAGCAATAATTCTGTTAAAATGAAGATGAGCAGATTTTCGCGCTTTCCCTTACTCTTTGAATGATATATGTGGCCCCTGAACTTAAATCCATTTCACAACATTTGATTAATTCCTTATTTACGTTCAAAGAATGAAACTTACTTTGATATGAAATAGTTTTGCGATCTATTAAGGTGCGTACAAAGAAGTAGCGATCAGAAGGAAGATTTGTAATATCGTTGAAGGGTAATATAAAATAATTAAAAAAAAATGTTTTTAATCTAGCAAAAACCGATCGTTCAATTTAAAGAAACCTAAGAATACATATGCCCATAGAACCCTGTGAAATGGAATGTTATTTACCGTGCTACTACTATTGCATGCAAGTAGATGTTAAAAACTGACACACATCTCACCGGATTGGAGAGCAACGTGACCCTAGCCGTCTTACAAACATACAGGTGTATTTAGTGTGTGTGTGTTTATATAGAGATGTATTGTATAAATAGGTAACGCAAACACGCAGTTTGTATTCCACATTCAGGTGCATCATATATAAAAGTTAAACAAACATGCAGGTATAGTATGTACCAGTGCTGCAGAATGAATCTGATACAGATAAAGGTTTTGACAAATAAACGTTTCAAATCATTTCCAAAATGAGATTCACTTAGGACGCTGGCCAGTGTTTTTATCAATGAATAGAGCTCTTTATTTTCAGTGAAAAGGCATACTTGGCAATACAATAAAAAAGATAACATTTTATATTACTGTTCGCTTTGATAATAGCAAAAAATATATATATATTTGTATGTAAATGCAAATAAATTTGTAACTGGAGATCACAGAATGATGAAGAGAATGCAAACAGGCAGTGTAGAGATTTAAGGAACATTCTTCATTTGCAGCCTTTTTTGAGAAAGGATTTGGAATGACACAAGCTTAGGCTATATACTTGTAGCATGGCAGTGATGGCTGGCTAACCTTGCTGCTCTAGATATTTATGAATGACATTTCCCATGAACCTCAGGCTGTGCTTCATGGAATATGTACTTTTAAAACAACAGGCTGGCTAAGCATTGTGGGGAATGTAGTGTGTACGGCCAAGAATCACTGCTAGATGGCTTACCTGGGAGAATCATAGGTTACCAGGTTAAAAAGAAAGCGTCAGTTTGCCCAGTGTATTTATAAACAAGTGTTTCCATTTTACTTCGAAGTATAGGGCAGTATTTCTAAATAAACTCCACTTATCACTGTTTGCCTAACCTGCGCTGACTAGACGAAAAGTGTAGCTGTGGATAGTGTCAAATACAATTCGTGCCAATCAGATTTGATTTCCATAACATGCGTGTGGTGTATTTATAGAATTCTACTGGAACTTAAAATCCATCAGACAGAGTGTGAGGAATAAATAAAAGTGCAATGTGTTAGGATACATTAGAAGAATACGTGACATATTATACGGGCAGGAATATTGCAGAGTCCAGTTGTGGCATAATATAATGATAATAGCATATTTTTAACTCGGACATTAAGAATGTCACTAATTTCCAAGTATGTTCTGGGGTCTACATGTAATTATTACCTATTAATGGGGTGTATACTATAGTATACATATTAGAGAGCCGTGAATTATGGGGAGATATTGCCATTGAGGGGTTCTAGAGAGGATTTAAGGACTGAGGGGCACTGTTTACCCTAATACATGCTACAGCATGTACATTACATGGTTTCTAGGTCTAAGGTTAGTGTTACTTTTAGGGTTTAATAATTCATGTCCAAGTTTGTATGAGATTTGTGAGAACTGCACTCCCAGGTGGCATCTGCCACCATTATTTCAGCAAGATGGAGGGCTAGCTCCCACTAATTTCAGACGTACTGCCCTATGATTAAAGATCCCGCATTGCATGGTGGCAGTCTTACTGGGAAATAAAGAAATTAATATGTTAGGGATTGAAAACCTGATCGGCCCCTTTAACTGATAGGCATATATATAACATAGTCCATATCCTATTGTATAAATATAGCACCATTTTTAGTTGATAATATGGCTTGCAATGAAATCCCTGAATGATCTCTCTAAATCTCTCAGTCACACATTAAGTAGCTAAGATAATTAAATGAATGATTATATAAGCTAATGGACATGATTTGCTTATAGTTTTAACTATATCCTGCAAAAACCTACACAAGACTTAGCAAAGACAGATTATCCCTGGGGTAGTGGGAGTGCTGTGAGTGTACTACTGATAAACTCTGACACTACATAACTAGGTATGATAGCTAGATACAATAAAGAAGGAGTAATTATTTCTCAATCTCTGTCCAAGCCACGGTGGTTTAAAAACTCACAGGGTACTTACAGCTCTTGTTAGGAAAGATCATCATCTCCCTTGAGTTAAAATCTGTTCTTACTAAACTAGTCTCATCTTAGGCGGAATGGACTACATCCCACGGGAATGTAGTGAAAGAGGAATCCAATTAGACTTTCATCTGCTTATGAAGACATGGTTATATATGCAATTACGTATATAGCGCCAACATATTCCGCAGAGCTGATATTTGGTCTGTGCTTTAAATGTTGTTTGAGTCCCCTGCTTGCATTTGCAGGTCTGTAAAGGCTGTCAGGAAATAAACTAACATTCAGGGTGAAGAATATACCTAGTATTAAGGGATAATGAATAATAAAAAAGCCAGTTATTCTTGAAATAAAACCACGAAAACGACAAATTCAGAAGGCAATTGTCATTACATCATTGCTCATTACAGTGCCATTAGGTTAAAGGGACAATCCAAGCACAATAAAAACTTACATTTATTGCAATTATTATGGCATGAGGAGCTACCCCGTCACAGAGAGATCACAGTAGGAAGGTACTCGGAATAAGCAGAAAAGATGGGATTAATTCTCTTTTAGGAGTCACTAGGAGTATTTCAGTGAAAAAGTACTAACAAAAACCAGTGCGTGATTAGCCTATAAATTGACCCCAAGTCATATTCAATAATATTTTCAAAGGAGCGGCTGCTCTGCAATAGAGGGAATGTTAAAATGTGGTTGGGCAGTTTAAATTCAGGTGCAACATAAAACAGAACACATGTTTTAAAATGTAAAATAAAATAAGACAAATAAATGTTCCCTTTTTAAGTTAATATAAAGTAACGTAGCGATCGGAAATTGCCATTCTTGGAATCTGCGTCACGGTGCCGCCACCTCGCCTTAATCCACGCTTCGATATTTAGTAAACAAGTTGTACAGGACTCTCAACGTGGACTTCAAATCACAGTTGACAATATCTGTGAAAAGAAGAAAACTTTTTTATAGTAGAACATATTAATGAATAATGTCACCTTAGAATGAATCTGTCATTTTAGTGACATTTCCTAATATTTTGTCAAAACATTTAGAAACAGCTTTATAATGCTATGTCCGAATAGAACACATTCACAGAAAAGAAAGAAAAGCTTATAATGAGAATTTTAATATACAAAAAGAAAAAAAAAAATCACAGATCATCCAATTAATCCCAACTCACTCCTGCCCTCCATTAGATTATAAACAGGCTGCACATACAGTCAGTGATTTGTAATGGACAGGACAGGTACCTTCCGGCCTTGGTTTAGGCTTTTCCAAACCTCCATCTTGCATAAGTTCAAATGAAAACGACACATTGACTACCTGTGATTAGAAAAAAAGATCAGTTAATGAATTACATTTATTTAACATTGCTAGAAGAAAAATAAAAGTAGGAATTTATGCAATAAACTCTGAATTGTAATACATTAGAATGTGAATTGCAAAATTTAGACCAATAAAGAAGATTTCGAATTCAGATATAGTCATGGTGTGGCTATTTTAGCTTGAATTTACAATTTAGATTTAAACTTGGCTTCCAATTCACTGTAATATGGTGTTTAGTGAATAAACTATATACACAGTTTTAAAAAGGATGTTTAACGGCCAACAGGATCCTGACAAGGGATTAGTTTACACCATAAAGGTTCTAGAACACTGTATGACCTTCATGGTTTAATCACCTATGTGACTATGTATAACGTCATAAGTTTGAGACAAACAAAATATAGAATAATAAATTATAAAAGTTACATTAAAAAAAATCATTACTGTTAATTACAAATGGGAAGAAAAACGAAATGTTAACACCTTTGATCCTCAAAATATTGTTTTGTGATTATATATTCTGTATCTAAAACGGACCATGAAATAACTCAGGATCTTTTCACCGTTAAAAGTGCATAGTTGATTTAACAGTCAAACTAACCCAAAGTCTTACAGTAATCTCAGTATAAGACATGGGGTCCCAACAGGAATTTCTTTCAATAAATAAATCTAGTTATTATTATATCTAGCAAACTGGTGTAATGTGTGTAATAAAACAAAATATGACCATGTTGTGCTAACATTGCACTTATAAGGAGGACTCCAAGTCTGGTACTGTGGTGCAGCAGCCCAATTCAGGACTTTCCCAACCAAATCTTTGACCGTTGGGAGGTTGTTGTTTTTTGTAAGTTTGCGGTTTGGCTTGGTGAATTTAGATGGTAATGTCGGGGTTATTAAAAGTAATGAGGGCAGGTATGTTTCATATCTGGCTGCGCTGTGGGTGGGTATATCATTACCTCATGGAAGCAGTAAGAAGGAACTAACACTAGCATAGGTCACACGTGTTATCTCTGTGGGAAACATGCAAATCTCACACACAAACAATTCACCGGGATTCATTTACTCAGTACAAGTAAAATGCGCTGAGTATTGAAAATACAATATTATTACTGCAGGGCCAGAGTATCCAATTGCATTAAACTGCTCACATCATTCTCAGGCAGGAGAGTTCAAACAACTTGTCAACTGTAAGCCACTAAATAGTTGGTTGAGTTTCAGGTAAGCTGCTCCTGACACGGTGAGTGACAAACTGAGACTGGTGTAAAATGTGCATATCTTAACCAACCCCAATCCAGGAATTTACCTTCTGTTCGAAGCTGTCTGGAGTCAAGAAGAAATTATACAGGGGTACAAAGTAGCCCTCCAGTAGCCCCATCAAAAGCACGAGGTACACTCCGTCTGCAAACTGTAACAAAGAGAGATTTGTCCATTGGTTAACACCGTAAGACAAATGCTGCCCATCTCTATGGATGTAACACTACATGGAAACTGTTCTTGTCTCTACGTTAACTACATGATAATACCGCCTGCCTCTATGGTAACTACTGCTGGATGCCACTAGCACCTATCTCTATGGCAACTACCACATTCTGTATCTATGGAAACTACCGCTGGATGCAGTTACTGCCGGTCTCCAGGGTAACTACCTCTGAATGCCTCTACCAACTGTCTCCAGGGTAACTCTAACTTTCCTATTCTTAATTGCAATACTGTGTGTCTTTATGGACACTATGGCTACATGATTTATACAAGTAAGCTTGACAGGGGGGGGAATAAACAAACAGGCAACCTAATTATATCCTCTTCGGATCTTACCTGAGTCTCCAGCTCTGTCACCTCCAAATTCAGCTTATTCAGATGCTTGTTAACAAATGTGATCAGAGTCTACAGAAAAACCCAGAAGAAATAGTAAATACCATGGTCTGGAGTAAACAGTCTGCGCAATGGGCGCGTGTAAGTGATAAAGACAGAACGTTCTCAGAATTCATTTTTATTTACACATAAAGCGGGTGCAGAGTAATTTAAAGAAAACTGAAAAGGCCTCTGTTTCCCTGACTTCCACTGGGCTTCACTTCCTAAAAATAGTATAAGACTGAAAGATGACCCATCCAAGGAAGCCGGAGCGTGTTAAGGAGGAGGAATGAAAGAGATTCCTCAAAAATCATCTAGATTTAATTCAGCATCAAAATACTAATGCTGAAAAGTCGCTTATTAAAGCTATTCCTTCATCAAAGCTTCTGACTGTGTGAAATGTTGCACGTTGTCACAGTTTTAAAAACGTACAATATAGTAAGGTGGCAGTTGTTTAGATACATTAAATAAGTACAGCAAAGACCAAAATATAAAAAATGACACAGTTACTATTGGGATTCATAAGGAAATTCTCAAACCTTTTTCACCACATTGAGTTTGTCTGGAGCATGATCAAATAGAGTGTCAAATGCATCTCGCTCTAAACATGGGAAAAAAAAGACATTAAAAATAATTTTACATTGGTCATAAAATTATAATTTAATGTTGTCATTGATAATGACGGGGCTACGCTCACCTGTTCTCATGCAGGATACATAGTAAAATAATGTGAACTCATTAAGAGGTAATTTCTATGAAAAGGTTAGTAGGGGGGAAGTAACTTATCCAAAAAACTCATTATTACCCAAAGAAAATGTACCATAACTGCAACAAAATTAACTTCTACATTTAATAAAAATATTAAACATAGTTGCACACAAATAAACCCAAAATCTATAGTTATTCTTTTTATTGGTATTGGTGCAGACTATGCCAAAAACACAAATTATTGGATTGGGCGCTGGTATGAGCCTTTATCAAGCCAAAATCTTGTTGTTTCTTATCAAATTAAATCTGCCTTGGTCTTTATACCAGTCCAATGTTTTTACTATTGATCCTGGGAGTGTGATCGCGTCTGGGCGGGAGGCACTGTACAGATCCTTCTTTGTGTGCTTATCTCTTTCTATGCCAAATACAAGCACATTTTAGACCTTTTAAATGGGCTCTGTTACTCAGATTCATTGAGATTTCTTTCTATTTATCTTGCAGTTTTAGAAATAGCATCTTCACTTCTCCATCCCTCCAGACCTGTTTCAAACTGTAATAAAGTGTGATGTTATTAGCTTACCGTGTCGTCCTGACAATGCCCTAAAATAAAGAGAAGATAAACATGAGAGATAGAATGTTACAGGGTTCTAAGCAGAGAATGAAGGAAATTGTAATACAACAGCAACCTAGGAAGATTCCAATGTATATTATTTCTGTCATTTTAACTCTTCTTTAACAGAATAAAACATTTTGAAAAATAATATCAGGAAGTATTACTTTACAGAGAGGGTAGTGGATGCATAGAATAGCCTTGCAGCTGAAGTGGTAGAGGTTAACACAGTGAAGGAGTTTAAGCATGCGTGGGATATGCATAAGACTATCCTAACTATAAGATAAGGCCAGGGACTAATGAAAGTATTTAGAAAATTGGGCAGACTAGATGGGCCGAATGGTTCTTATCTGCCGTCACATTCTTTGTTTCTATATTTCTATAAGTCTTTCAGGAAAAAAAGGTATATAAAGTCATGATATTTTTATTTTTACTCTATGTAATGTGTCTGTACCCATAATGCACCAATATGCAATATATAATGCAAAGTGTGTGTCTTATCTCTAAGCATACAATATACATCAAAGGCAATGTGGTGTAACCAAAAACCTTTAATATAGTGCTATCAATGAACTGGCTTATAATTTAACTACCAGGTTACAAGCTATAACTCCGTCTCTTTACAGTCTTCTTCTGCATTATAGAACACCTGCAGGAAAGAGGTATTTAAAAACATGGCTGTAATACATGGTGTTTTATCTTACAGTTCTGGTCTAAAGATTCTCAAATAGAGGGGTTTATTAAAGTGTCACTTTGACTTTTTAGTATTTCACAAAGAATCTTTCTGAAATACTTATGCTGACAGCGTTGGAAATTTACTGAAATTCCAACGCAATTCAAAAAATACTACTACTTTGTCCTACGGGCAAGCCTGAGATTGAAAAAAAAGTGTAAACGTTTGTCCAATCCCAGCAGCCATCACAAATGACAGCTGTGGGATTCAGGTTTCGTCTTTATTATCACAAGACATGATCTATTGAGGCGCCTGCAGGATCCTCCATAGACCTCAGTGTTGTGCTCTTGTGCATGTAAGAGAGTACATCACTAATGCAGCTCCTGGTAGATGAAGTACCAGGAGCCAAAGAAGGTCTACAGGAAGAAGATGGCACCACTGCACCCCATGGCCACAGAAACCTAAATGGAAATGTCAGCTTCACTTTGCATATTTTGACAGAATCTCTGTAAATACCATTTATAGTCTTGATTAGTCCTCTGATGGTAAAGTATAATGGATTGCTTCCAATTAGAAAAATAGCAGAGTTTTTCTAAATTAGCCATTTTTGTCTAAATTTTACAATTGAGTTTTCAGTTTACTACATTTTGCAGTTTAGTAAATATCCCCCCTTTCACTGAGCCGCTCCTAGGAGATTTTACAGACACATAACATTACACGTCAGATGCTACACAGGGAAGGAGGTGGATATGTGGGCTGTGAATGATTTAACATGTAGGGATAACACTCTCCTCTGGCTGTCATTTAACAGAAACCCTGAAATTGCATTTTATCATATATATCTGGCTGAAGCGTCATATTCCCTGCTCCGGGAACTTGTTAATATCAGTAATCCGATCGCATTTCTCACTAACATATGGCTCCCATTATAGAACTGTTGGCAACAGCACTGATCACATACTCCGTATCTCCCGTGATCTCCTCCTGGATTTGGCGAGACTGCAGCATCCCGTCCAGCTTCTGAAATCATACAAACCAACACACCAAAGGTGAAAATTTTAAATTAAAGATTTAGAATTATTGTTAACAGGTTTTCTTCTGGCCACTAAATTCAGTTAATAATAAAGTCATGTAGATATTATGTAACATTTGTACGGTTATAATAAATGTAATTGTCACAATTTACTGTTACTTATGGTTAGAATACGATTCTTGCTAAAATCGGTCATTATTCACATGGAATTCTATACATTTTTAGTACTTTAGCATAATGCACTGAGAGGACATTTTCGAGTGCTAACTTTAAAATACAGGATACAGCTGGCATACCTAAAAATAAAGAAAATATGCTGCACTCAAAAACATAATATATCTAGCAAATTTGTCAAAACTATTCTTAAAGTCAAGCTGTCATGTCAAACATGACTTGATCTGTTTATAGAAAGTGATAGTTAACCTATACATGGTGCTGGTCAAACTGTTGGAAATGTATAGGCAAAAAGTTATTTCACTTAAATTATTATGACCTCCACAATCATTACTGCTAAGCTGTTGGTATAAAAAGCATCTCTCAACTCATAGTGGGCCTTGTAATTGTGGGATCTCACACTCCTCTTCAGAAAAAGTTATACGACAGAAATATTAATATTCATTGGACAGTTGATATTGCTGAAGACAAAAATATCAAATACCTGAACAACCACAACTTGTATGGAGACGTGATCTGGAAGGCGGATGGGAGCCCGGAAGTATTGGGAGAGGGCTACTAAGAGATGCAGGATGGCCACCACTGACTTGGCATGAACAGCTGGAGCCGAAACAGAAATAACTGTATTAGAAAACACCATAATGGACACTTTCACTACATACATGTTACCCCGAGGAACCTGACAAGCTAACTAGACGTTTTATAATGTGCAGCGTTCGTGGCCATTGAGTATACCCTAAACTGAGACGCCACATTCACTGCATCACACTCACAGTCAACGTTCCACTTGACGCCACGGGGCGGAAGTTTCAGTGTCTCGTTGATCTTTTCCAGCACAGTTTGCAGCTTCTGCTTCTGAGCTATTTCCGACTGCGTGACTTCAGCGACATTGAGTTTCTGGCCCTCGAGCTTCTCTGCATTACAGAAGAAAGCACAGGATTTTAACACATTACTTACACACTTCCATTTCAAGCACTGAAAGAAAGGACGCAAGGCACACAAGTACTCCCAGATTTAAAGACTCACAAGGAATAACAGATACTGAACACCCACACAAGGTTGAAGGGTGATGTCTACACACATAATTGTGCTCACAGGATCAAAGCGTACGGCTGTTTTTGTGTGTGTTCACTTATTTTCTTGCCGTGCTTTTCATAAGCCGCCCTGCTGTATGCGGCTGCTTGAATGGATATCTATATGATCTGATTAACATAGGATGATGGAAATCATACAAAAGCCCTCGTTATTATAATAAACTATTGAAATGCACGGCATAGAAGAAGCAAGCTACAATAAAAGAGTTATTACAGAGCCAGCACGGCATCTATACGTGTGAAGGCTTATTGGTGTCGATCACAAGCAGCTGGGCACAAGTGGAGGACACGAAGATCAAAAGAACAGAAAATGCTACTTAGTACATTAATCTCCATTTCACATTGGAAATCAATGCTCCTCATATTAAGGATGGACAAGGTCAGCAGGTTTGGACGATGTGCTTAAAGAACTAAGCGTTTCCTCCTCACTAAGGAAATAACAAATGGACATATCTGGCCTGATCAGCGTTTACAGCTAAGGTCAGATACAGGTCAATAATGACTGATCTGATATGGTTACTGGTAACTTCAATAACACACAGTAATGTCTTAAATCCATCTAGAGGCATTGTAATAGCGATAGTATAAATTGTGGCATACACAAACACGTGCACAAGTACACTTCTTGAACAACATTGAATCTTTTGGAAATACTTAAATGTATTGGGTAAAACCAGACTACCCTCTTAATTATACATTCAAAGAGGAAATATCAGGAGCGCTGCACACAATCGCTATAATACACACAAATATCAATTTACTGATACAAAGGAAATAAACTATGAGGGTGAACCTAAATGTCTGTTTTGCAGGTGTGCTTTACCCTTACATTAAAAAAAAAAACTTTTTAAATTTTTTTTTTTATTTCATTCAAGTTTCGCAAGTTGTTAAATAGTTAGACGGTTTTAATGTGCCAAAAGTACAAGAATGAAGAAAGTACCTGAGAATCGGATATCACATTTATGGAATTGAAGTATAAATATAGATGGAAGAAAAATAATACCACAATTTCAGACTTAAAGGAACACTCCACTGAAATTTTATTTAGAAAAGAGGAAGGCAGGTGTGCTCTAGGCCAGCTCTGTAGAGCTAGCAGAAGCTCAAGAAAACCTCCCTGGCTGGCTGAGACAGAGCAATTAGAGCATTCACTAACAGAATAATACACCTTTAATACATGAAGATTCACAGACCAAGGAAATATCCACCAATTTGTATACAAACTAATATTCATACACACATACACAAATCTAACGCATTAGATCACCTGCATGCATTTTGCTGCTAATTAATAAACTTATATGAGGTGAATGGATATAGAGATATCTTTGGGTATGAGATAAAGAATCACTGAGCACATTCTGCAGAGTATGGCAGCATTCAAATTACATCTCAGTACACACTGCGGTATAATGCTTTGTATCTGTACCCAGCGGCCCTATGTTAGTATTTTTTTTTAATGTATTTACCAAAAAGTTTCTGTAAAACCTGCCCATCATACAGGTCCTCAGCCAGGTCTTTCACAATAATCCTCTCACCGACCAGAACATCATTAATCCAGTCGATTAGGACCTGGAAAGAAACGTAAAGTTTGTTAAAGAAATATTTTCGTCCAAAGCGACCCCTGAATTTGACTAAATCGTGTGTACACAATACAATTTGCAGACTTAGTACACAGAGCCCTGATATCCCTGCAGACACAGAACACTCATACTATATACTATTCTATAGAAATCTTGCAGACTCACAGATACTCTGAGGGTTAAACAAACAAACAATACAGGTGAAACTAAATATAAATAAGTATATTAGGCGCTTCAGTGATGACAAACTGGCAAACTTTCTACAGGTGCACATGCTGCTCCCCACTTAGGCGCTTCCACAAAACCAACAAATAAATAAACAAGTAGGTGCGCTAAGTGACAAACACAAAATGAAATCACCACACAAAAGAAAAATAAATATATAGGTATATACTTTCCTTATAGAGCTTCAGGAGTATTTGAATTATAAATCCATGCAAAATGCTGAAGCAGATTAATCTCGCCTTGTTGGATGTAGGACATGTGGCTGGGCTTGATTCTAGATCTTATCTCCACTGATATATCACATACTACGCTATATTTGTTTTCTGTATTTGTATGTAGCTACATCTGCTTCAGCACTTTGCATGTATTTTTAATTTGGATACTCCTGAAAGTCTATAAGGAGAAGTATATACCTATATTATATGTTTTGTTGTTTTTTTTTGTGGTGATTTAATTTTGAGTGGGCAGCTTACTAGCCTTTGCAGTGGCAGACTGACATTATAATGCAACGTGTAAAGTGCCTGTTAACTCTATAGAAATAATATTTATACAGAAGGGTCTCAAAACAACATGTTAATAATGAATTCATTTACAGACTGGACAGGCCGTTAAACAATAAACATTAAATAGAGATCAGTTACCCGTGGACAGCAAAGCATGAATTCCCTAGCTAGATGTAAAAATGACATTGATTAGAGGTAATTAGGGACAGGTGACAATATTGATTTCACAATAAGAGGTGACAATGTTAAATACAGGAAGATCAATTGATTGGGTGATTTCTGTATTATTAACCCCTGACAAATGATTGTTCTATTTCCTATGGCCCCATATGTATTGAGCTGTAATTAGTATACTGGAGGGGTGTGGGTTACAGGCTACTGAGGAGCTAATTGCTGATCCCAAATGTAAGACTTTATACTGAACATATTAATTGTGCCGAAATCTAAATCGCGACATCCCATTCAGTATAATATATTACTATGTTGGTGGAAAGTGGGGCCAGGGGTTCTAAGTCAACAATATTCACTAAATATTGAACTGTATGAACTGAAAAGAAGATTGCAAAATTTAGGAAAGAGTAGCCAATTCAGAAAAGTTCTTCAGTCGAGCTATAGTTACAACTTGGCTCTTTAAGCCTAAACTTTACAGTTTGAATGCACTACATCAATGCACTACAATTCAGCTGCTTTGTAAATAAGCTCCTTGTTGTTGAGGTGATGGGAGGTAATGTGCTTTACCTTCATTAGGTCTTGTAATCGAGGATCGCTTCTTGAATATGGATCAATCATGGTTCTGACTTCATTTTCCTCTTCAAAGAAAAGAAAAATTCTGTTAGTAATAAGAAAATCATTCAGCTGAGTTTTATTGGGATTGTGACTTACCAAGCATGGTATCCTCCGGGTCCAGCTCGAAGGGGATTGGATTGAGAGGTAAATTGATGGCATTGATCCCTTCCTCCTGCAGTTCAGACACTAGGAGAGAGAAAGAATTATTTGGTTCGATGTGAATGGCCTAATACACTGAGTAAGAGTGAACGCATGCATGACACGAACACGAATCAAGAATGTCAGTGGAAACATTAAATCTTCCCTGTGTCCAATTCCCAAATTAAAGAGCCAGGCAAGAGCATTAAAAAATAGATAGAGCTTCAACTTATACTCACATATTTGTATAAAATAAATAAATAAAACACGGTATAAAACAAACTTGCTATTTTTCATGTTCCTTGTCTGTACCATACACAAAGTCAGGAAACTGAACATCAAAATAAATTTAATTAAGCTGTAGAAATTCAGATTTAAATGAAAGTATTTGGTTTTCAGGAAACGATTTTAAACAGATCTCTTTACCGTTAACGCAGATAGACTGCCAGAAAGGTCCCAAAGATTCTGTAATTTCCCTGGTATTTTCAGGCCGCAGACACATGCTTGCCCAGCGGCAAGCTAAATACACAATCCGTCGCACAAACAAACCCTTTTCAAAGTGGCAACATCAGCAACGTGTGTAGAATTATCCCCATGATAGTAATATAATGAAACAATTAGAGTGAATTTAAAAGTGACTTTGAAAACACAGGTAGACATACTATAGAAACAGCAGCGATGCGGGAAAGCACATTACAGACGCTTGGCTTGAGAGAGAACGCAGTTTGGAAATGTTATCTTGGCAGTAATTCGATTTCCTGTGTCTCTTTAAATGTAATAGTATGTATTTATTGCCACAAAACAGAACATGATACATTAATTTACATTATGATACGTACAATGTAAAACCCACCGGGGAATGGATAGGGATCGAATCAAATTTCCACTTATGGCATTGTTGTTTTACTGCACAAATTATATTAGGAACACATATTTATTGTGTATCTAGAATAACAGTAAAAACGGTTTAAGTGCCCTGGATGAAAATGGCAGACCCTGTTTTGGCAAGTCAGGGAATCTCAGTGCAGTGTGTCTAAGGTCTTTACACTGCAAAACATGATCCCATTGATTGCACTGAAAGGAATAACTATCCGAATTCTAAGAATATAATAGTCTTTGCAGACTCTCACAAATAGCAACACAGCTTGTGAAAGTGAAGGAGATTGGCCAGTATGGAGTGGTATCTCCATATTACACCCATTACTGGCAGTGTCACTGTGTCAAGTGCTAGTGTCTCTATATAACCATCCATCCAGGGAGCACGCCCTGCACCCTAATCCATCCAGGGAGCACGCCCTGCACCCTAATCCACCCAGGGAACAATCCATCCACTCCAATCCATCCAGGGAGCACCCTCTTCACCCTAATCCATCCAGGGAGCACGCCCTGTACCCCAATCCATCCAGGGAACAATCCCTCCACCCTAATCCATCCAGTGAACACTCCCTCCACTCTAATTCATCCAGGTAGCACTAGTAGACTGCCGACTTTGTCTTACAAATCATTGGTGTGGTGTGGTGTAGTGTAGTGGTGGGAGTAGAAATCCTTTACAGTCCCTCTCAAACATCCAGATAGATACATGTGTTTCTCTGCAGGTTGAGGGCCAGCTTAGGAGCAAAACAGGAGTGATGGTTAGAGGAATCAAGCTTGGTATACACATTGATAGGAGAAAATGGGTTAAACTTGCCGTCACAGGACCCCGCTAATCCTACTAACGGCTTCTGTGTTTAAAACCCCAAATCACTATTTGAAGTATTTTCTGGGACACATATCAGTAATGAGTTAAAGAGACATCATCCACTCCAATTAATCCTTTACTTAATGGAGATAACACATTCACAATATGTATGCAGACATGTATATACAAACAACACCTCAAATGTAAACATTATTTTCTATTAATTCCCAACAACTAAAAAGTCTAGAAATGACTTATTTCACCCTGAGAATCCTAATCACAGCCTTCAATGGGAGTGCTGTGCATATCCCTACAGAAGGTTTATGGCATACATTTCCAAATACTATTGATCAAGAGTGAAACTACCACGGTTTCTAAAATATCTTTATTCATGCTTTTTCGCCACAAATTATGTTTTCTTAGAGCCCACATGACATGCGTTACACTGTGTGGAGGGGCAGTCTGCCCTTATGAAGTCATTCTCCAAGCTGGGAAGGGCACTAAGTCACAGTGATGTTACCATTGGATGGAATATAATTAAATCATAATAAACTAGCACCTCTGACGGCTAACAGAACTTGGTGTCACTCTATAGGAAGTAATCATTTCATCTACCTGCAGCCAAATCGATGGCAAATGCACAAATAAAAAAATATGAATTTATTTCTACTTTGCTGTCAGCACAACTGACAAGTGGACTGGGGGGATCATTCACTAAATAGGGAGTCACACATTTGAACCTAAAACAGCCGATCTGTAAAAATAGCCCAACTGGTATTTCCCCCCAAATTCAGCTATTTTGGCTTAAATTTTGTAAGTTCTTTACAACTATTAGTTTAGCGAATAAATCACATTATATCCCCGATAATGTCAGAGGATATCCAACACAGGCCCTCCACTTGTGGATGGACAGCAATACCTATTATCCTCTGCTGATACCTGTATCCACCGGATATGATGGCAGGTGTCAAATAAAACCAGTTGAAGGGCCAGGAATGAGGTGTACCCCAAAACGCTTGCCATCAGTGTGCAGTAATGAAGTATATTGTCTCCTACCTTTAGAACACAGCGCCCCGCAGCCCATTGTACCCACGCCAAGTCACTGTCATGTTTCCTGGCACATTAAATTTAAAGCGTCCTCTGTAAAGGCCTCTCGGCAGCAGCAGCCCTGCAGATATTCTCAGCAAGACATCAGCACATTGCACAGCCCACTTGCTGGCTACGCAAACACTGGCTGACTGCAGATATAATTCAATATGGAGCCACAGGAGACTTGGTGACTGTCTGCAATCTAGCACAGTCTTTCGAACCTCAAAAAACTGCAGCCTGATCACTGTGATCTCGGTGCCCCCAGCTCTATCGGCGCAGTCACTGAGAGCAGCATTTGGCGCAGCCGGCGAGAAAATCCATCATGCACACAGATCAATGCCTGCTACCTAATGTCGGAGATAATTCACTATTCACATCTCCCAAGCCGCTCAGCATGTTACGGTACAAATAGTTATAGCAATAGCAGAGTACAGACCGCTGTAACGTCAGTGGGACCATCAGCAGGATTCTGAAAGGAGAACTATCAGCAATCACTACTGGGCATAAACGACAGGATATCTTGATTTCTTTTCTTTTGTACAATGCTTTTTTTTTTTTTAAACCAAATCACCAACAACATATAAATCAATCTATAGTCTTATTTTACCGTTGGCTGTGTTTCGCAAAGTAGGTGTCAATTTGCATGGTTGGCATCTAGTAATTGGAGTAATACAAAGTATGCAAAGTTATGAAAGCATTTTATAAAAAAAGGCTATGATTTAAAGGAATAACCCCTTAAACGGAGCGGTAAGTATTTACAGAGAACCTGTAATTAACAAACTCCTGTAGGTAGGTATAGATGGACACATAGTGCTTGTAAAATGTTTAAAATATGTAACGATTCAAAGGTCAAGTCACCTACAGATCTTTATCCTCCAAGATGGCATCCACAAATGGGCTCAATCATTCAAGGCTCCCACACACGTTGGGTGCGCTGTGTAGGTTAGGTTACAGTTCTACTAGGTGGGATTATATTATTAAAGGGATACTCTAGGCCAGTGATGGCAACCTTTTTGAGCCCGAGTGCCCAAACCGCATTACATGCCAACTTTTTTCCCCTCAAAGTGCCAACACGGCAATTAAACCTGAATACTGAGGTTTACGTTTAGAAAAAACAACTCGTACAGTTGTCCGAACTACTTAGCATCTTTTGTTTTAAAAGAAGAACACAACAGAGTTTAATGATACAAATTTTAAATAATGATATAAATAGATCAATTTAAGCTTATATTTATTAGTATCTCCAACAAATGGAATACATACACACAGACTGCTGAACACATTCACACCGACTGCTTAATACATACACACACCAACTGCTTAATACATACACACACCGACACACAGACTGACTGCTAAATACACAGTCAGCTAAATACACACACACAAACATACACACAGTCTGCTGAATACACACACACGGTCTGCTGAATACACACACACGATCTGCTGAATACACACACACGGTCTGCTAAATACACGCACACAGTCTGCTGAATACACACACAGTCTGCTGAATACACACACAGTCTGCTGAATACACACACACATACACTGCTGAATACATAAAGACTGCTGAATACACACACACACACACACATTTACTGCATTTAGGGGTGCAGTGTATGTGTTTGTGTGTAAGGGTGTGGAGTGCTGTGTGTGTGGTGTTGTGTGTGTGTTTGGGGGGTGCTGTGTGTGGGGGTAGGGGTGCTGTGTGTGTGTGGGGATAAGGGTGGTGGGGGAGGTAGGGGTAAAGATACATAAAAAAAGGATATAAAATCTGTATCTCCCCCCTCCCTTCTTCTTACCTTTGGTGAAAGGGCGGCGAGTGGGTGGGGGGGGTTGAGGGAGGGGGGAAACACAGCCATCCCTGGTGGTCCAGTGGTGGTAAGTATGTAGGACAGGTCCTGCAGCTCTCTTGTCCTCCCGCGTGATGCTGTGTGGAGCGTTGCCATGGTAACGCGCGGCAACGCTCCACACAGATTGCTCGCGGGAGGACAGGAGAGCTGCTTCCGAGATCCCTCCCCCTGCTTCCGGTCCTCCCGACAAGAAAGCAGACTAGGCACCTGCCGTTTTTGGCAGGCAGGTGCATTGATGGCGAACCTATGGCCGCGTGCCCACAGAGAGGGCCCAGTGTGCCACCTGTGGCATGCGTGCCATAGGTTCGCCATCACTGCTCTAGGCTACCACACACGTTAAATGCACTGTGTAGGTTAGGTTACAGTTAGTTATACTGGGTGGGTTTATTTTATTAAAGGGACACTCCAGGCTCCCACACACGTTAAGTGCACTGGGTAGGTTAGGTTACAGTTAGTTATACTAGGTGGGTTTATATTACTAAAGGACCCTCCAAGCGACCATGTTAGGTGCACTGTGTAGGTTACTTTACAGTTGGTTATTCTGGGTGGGTTTATATTATTAAAGGGACACTCCAGGTCCCCACACACGTTAGGTGCACTGTGTAGGTTAAGTTACAGTAAGTTATATTGGATGAGTTTATAATATTAAAGGAGCACTATAGTGCCAGGAAAACAAACTCGTTTTTTTGGCACTATAGGGTTAATAGGCTGAAGGGATTAAAACTCCTTCAGCCACTTACCTTAATTCAGCGCCGGGCTCCCTCGGCGCTGGTGACCACTCCTCCCCCTGCTCACGTCAGCTCCGGGAGACAGCCACTAGAGGCTGGATTAACCCTCAATGTAAACATAGCAGTTTCTCTGGAACTGCTATGTTTACAGCTGCAGGGTTAAAACTAGGGGGACCTGGCACCCAGACCACTTGATTGAGCTGAAGTGGTCTGGGTGCCTATAATGGTCCTTTAAAGGATATTCTCCAGGCTCCCACACTCGTTAGGTGCACTGTGTAGGTTAGGTTACAGTTAGTTATACTGTGTGGGTTTATATTACTAAAGGGACACTCCAGGCTCCCCCACACGTTAGGTGCACTGTGTAGGTTAGGTTAAAGTTTTACTGGGCAGGTTTATATTATTAAAGGGACACTCCAGGCTCCCACACACATTAGATGCACTGTGTAGGTTAGGTTATAATTAGTTATACTGGGTGGGTTCATATTATTAAAGGGACACTCCAGGCTCCCCCACACATTAGGTGCACTGGGTAGGTTAGGTAACAGTTATACTGGATGGGTTTATATTATTAAAGGGACACTCCAGACCACCACACATATTAAGTGCGCTGTGTAGGTTAAGTTACAGTGATTTATACTGGGTCGGTATATCATAATTGCCTAAGTCTCTTCCTGGTCTGGTAAAAGTTCATTTTAGATATAGCAAAATGTGGGGATTTGTATTAAATTCTAGAAATACAAATGTGGGTAAGTTTTGATCCCATTGTACAGCTCTACGGAATCTGATGGCGCTATATAAATAATAAAATAATAATAATGTACTTGTTTTGCTATCTAATGTACTAAAAAAAGAGTCATTTTTAGCATCATGTTGCAGAGTCATTTTTAGCATCACTAATTTTAATGCAATATCAAAATGTAGGATTAAAAAAGAAAAACGAAAAACAATATGTCAAACCCAGCTGTAAGTGTCCCTGTAATGTTTTTTTTTGTTTGTTTCTGTCTGAAGGGTCCAGTTTAAAATATCAGGACACACAGAATCTGACATATGAAAACTCCAGCTGTATTCTCAGAATGCACCAGTATCGCATCAGTAACGAGTTTAAAAGAAACAGACGGCTACATCTATCAAAAGAACTAAATATTAGCCGTCACATTAGCTCATGTAACAAATAAATAGGATGAATGGACAGGACGATGCATGCTTAAAAGGTTTTTGCTGCACAAAGGAGAAAATGTAATTAGTGCTTTTATTCTCAATCAGTGTCATTGCCAATTAGGTAATGCCTGCCCGGAAAAAATACACACCGCGCTGCCGGTCTCACCGAGGCACTTAGCAGTTATCACTGAATTTGGAAAAAGGACAAACGGCGATGTAGCAGAAATTCCACATTTTTCTCTTAACCTCAAATATCATATGTATGTATATCTCCATAACTCCGCAGCTTGTGAACGCAACGGTTTAAAGCGTATAAACGTGATTCTAGACAGTGTATCTTCTCCTGCGACCAATCAGTAAGGTTTCATCATTGGTTTGCGGAAGTATACACTCTCTTAAATGTATCTTAATATACTACGGTACGGAATTAAATGTATCTTCTTATACTACAATGTAGAATTAAATATTTAATTATACTGCATTGCAGAAGTCAATGTATTTTATTAAGATTTTTTGGGTTACTGATCGACTTTATGAATCGTGTCAAAAGAAATTACAAATAAACATCTAAGAATAATTTGGTTTTCTGGAACCAGTGGCTTAAATATTTTGATCCATAAATATAACAGTCCATTTACACATTTATTTAGTGTCCATGTAGAATAAGTACCCACAGTTTCTGATGTTACTTTTTTCTTTTATTTTCAGGAATTATTATTTAAGTGTTCTTGCATAGCAAGACCACTTAATTTTATCTCACATATATATTATTCTTATTATTATAGCCAAATTTACCACCCTAACTCCTCCCACAGTTTTTACACTACATAGACAGTAACATACCGAAACGTGCGGATTGTTTCAGATCAGTGTGTTTTTACTTTGTGGAAAGTTTCGCCGAATGGTTCACGAGATATCGTCGTTTTTGTGGCGAAATTGGTCCCATAGGAATGAATGGCGAAATGTTCAAAACTAGAGTGGGAGCTGACAAAAGCTAGAGTGGGAGCTGAAAAATCAGGACATGATTTCTAAACTGCCACCACTCCCTCATTTTCAAGCCCACCTACACAAATCTTATATCAAAACGTTCAGCTATCTCTGCTGCCACTAAACATGTCCACGGCTAAGCCATAGTTCTGATAGTTTTCACAATATGACCATTTGTTTGCAACTCACACCGTCCATTGACATTCATTGAAACTCCACTCTAGCCACCTCAAATTTGAAGGGCAATATCTAAACAGCGACTATGCCTTCATTTTTAATATTACACAAGTTACTCAAGCCACTCCAGTTGTAGACTACTGGTGGAGGCAAGAACACTTCACACAATTTCCCCAGAAATTGTAGCTATTCTAGTTTTTTATAATAACCTCTTGCATTCACAAACTAGACTAGCCAAAAGTCAAATATCACAACAAAACAGTATTCTTGTTTTGTTTTAAACTAATCTGCCTTTCATCTCCAGAAATGAAAAGGAACGAAACATTCAATCCCTTATTTAGTTGTATAAATTGTAATACCCAGAAAATGAAAATTATAATAATGCCCTAATAACTTGAAGAGAACTCATCTTTTTTGTTCTAATAATTGTTCATAGATAAGGGGAGGTCCCCATGCCAAAATGTCCCATCCTGTGAGTTTGTATAGATAGATATATGTTTTAGATTGCATTACATTGCCTATTTTAATGTCTCATTTAGTCAGACTTTGAGTTTCTAAGAGGAAAAATTAAAAATGAGAGACTCAAAATATTGACAAATCTGTTTTGTCAACTTAATGTAAGGCTTAATGTAAGGCACAGTCTAAGAGATTTTATCAGTATATATGTTGTCTCGTTCTGTACTTTATATGTGAAAACAATACAAATTTAAAACATGAAAAAAAAATAGCAAAAATAAAAGATGCAATACATTTTTAACAGTGGGGATGGTGGTCTTGGGGTCATATGCAGCATTCCTCCTACTCCAAACACGGCAAGTTGAGTTGATGCCAAAGAGCTCAATTTTGATCTCATCTGACCACAACATTTTCACCTAGGTCTCCTCTTAATCATTCAGATGTTCATTGGCACTGTGCTTTCTTGAGCAGGGGGACCTTGCAGGCGCTGCATGATTTCAGTCCTTCACGGCATAGTGTGTTACTAATTGTTTTCTTGGTGACTATGGTTCCAGCTGCCTTTAGATTATTAACGAGATCCTCCGGTGTAGTTCTGGGCTGATTCCTCAACGTTCTCATGTTCATTAAAACTCCACGAGGTGAGATCTTGCATGGAGCACTAGACCGAGAAAGACTGACAGCTATTTTGTGTTTCTTCCATTTGCAAATAATCACACCAACTATTGTCACCTTCTCACCAAGCTGCTTTGCGATGGTCTTGTTCCTGACATCCTTGGACAGCTCTTTGGTCTTGGCCATGGTGGAGAATTTGGACTCCCTTTAAGAGAGTGCTCCTAATCTCAGCTCGTTACCTGTATAAAAGACACCTGGGAGCCAGAAATCTTGCTGATTGATGGGGGATCAAATACTTATTTCACTCATTGACATGCAAATCAATGTATAACTTATTGACATGCGTTTTTCTGGATTTTATTTTTGTTATTCTGTCTCTCACTATTAAAATACACCTGGCATTACAATTATAGACTGATCATTTCTTTGTCGGTGTGCAAATGTTCAAAATCAGCAAAAGGATCAAATACTTTTTTCCCTCACTGTAAAACACATGACATTGGGATTGGGATTCCATCTTGCACCAGAATGAGCCAGAACACAAAGCTGAAACAGGAGGAATAACCAAAACTCTGCATCTAAGCTGGGACAGCTGGATCCTGATAAGTTTACCCAAAAAGAATCCCAGTTTGAATGGTAGTGGCGCTTCCACCAAATCCTGACTCACGGAATTCTTCTGTATCCAACAAAACTCACACTTGTGGTTTAACTGACATTTGTACTGAAGTAAAACTTTTTTCATCTTCTCTGTGTTAATTTGGGAGTGAAGGGGGGGGGGGGACACGCACAGTACTGTTTGTAACTGGACGCAGTGATTAGATTTGCCAAAACAATGTCTGGAAAAGAGCTTGGGTTAGAATCTGAGATCATCAGAAATCAGATGTTTCCATTCCCTGCTTTCTGCCTCCATCAGCGGTTTCCAGCGTGGGGTGCACACACACTCCTTACACCAGCGGTGAGACACTTCTTGGTCCATCTAATCACATTTAACCCTTCACACGACTACACAAGCTAAATTCTTTAACACGTGAAAATGGAAACACAAAGCGTTAATTCACACGCACAACTGCATTAATCACTGCACCTTGATGACCTGCCTCTATTCATGTTTATTTCTGAATAAAGCCATAGCTCTCTGTAAAGGAGCCACTCTCCATACATTTACAAGGAACATGGCTTCAGCCTGTGATGCACATTAGAAGGGGCAGACTTAAAATTGTACAAACCTTATAGCTGCAGATATAATACAGCATGTGCAAAGTGCCAGGTATTACCTCCAGATTACCCTATGAATGCATGTGCCAACATTACACCTGTACAGCATAGTCTTGGTTAAATTAATTAACATCTCGGAAAACTAGGTATGCATCATAAATTAAAGGAACACCAACATCAAGTGGGACACAGGAAACTGCTTACAAAGTACTGGTGCGCTGGTACCGCACCCCACACCTCACCCATATCTATGACCCCAACATAGACAACACTTGCTGGGGGAACAGGGTACCTTCATCCATTTGTGGTGGGACTGCCCCCAGATCCAGCCATACTGGACAACAATACACACACAATCCTCACACGGTTCTCAGACGCACCGCCGCAACTGAACCCGGCAGCTTTTCTTCTACACCACACCACTACCCGCAGCTCAGCATACAAAAAAATCACTGACAATCAGAATACTCAACGTAACCAAAAGCCTGATCCCGCTGTACTGGAGAAAACAGACTGTACCCCCCCTAATCCTGTGGCTCCAACACATGGAGGACCTCAGGGCGATGGAAGAGCTCTCCTCACACGCAGAGGGGAGATCACAGACATATATGACGACCTGGACACATTGGATTCTGACTTCCAGACACTCATGCATTGACTAAGAAATGACCACCCAGACAAGCGACTAACAGACTGGATGACAAAGACAACGACATACAGGAGTCCACAAGACATGCAGCCAACTGACAGACTATGGGGGACTGAGGCGAACGAGTAGTAAAAGGGGAATGGGGAGGGAGCGGGAGGGACCACCATAGAACAGAAGGCAACATCTTGGGGGACACTCGGCCACAAAGGGGGAATAATCCAGCCCACTTAAAGCACGGAACACATGAGCACATAATACACCCCCACCCAACAAAACACAATATGAAATCTGCGTATCTCAAGACAATGAGCTCGGGATGCCAAAATTTGAAACCTGCGTGTTTCTCCGGACTAACCACCTGTCTTTCTTCTTTCTGTAATAACGCAAAACCTTGAATAAAAAGAAATTCACAAAAAAAATTAAAACTTAAAAGGAACACTCCCCACACCATAACAACTTAATTGGAATGAAGTTGTTATGCAGCCAGGAGGTCCCTGGTGCTGGCTTACCTTCAGAGTAATTGTTGAATCCAGCTGCTCTGCACATCTCCTTTGTTTTCTGTCTGAGGCTTGAATCAGTAAGCTGCAGACTGGGAGCCACTGATAGCTTGAGAAATGTACGCATGTTTCATTTTCTGAATGCGGAGCTACTGGCGCTCTCAGTGGCGGCCATGTCCAAGGTTTCATAATTCAAGCCTCGGACAGAAGAAGGAGCAGAATTGACCAGTGCTAACTTCAATACTTTGGGGTTAAACTGTTCATTAACGGTTTAACCCCTGAAGGTGGCCCACGTGACCCCGTGGCACTATAACAATTATATTCTGATGAAGTTGTTATGGTGCCCAGAGTGTTTCTTTAAAAAATGAAAACCTTTGGGATTTTATTGCTTTTTTAAAATGAAAAATACCATTGCAAACTTTTCTCTCTATGCAAAAATCTTTGCTTATTGTGCTAGTTTTTATATGCACCTTACCACAGTAGGTAGCAATAAACGCTCATGTCTGTATTTGCAGGCAATTGTCACCGATGGAAACGTTAACTCATCACATATGACAAGAGCAGTAAAAGGTTCTATACATCCAATCACAGCCGGAGTTGAGTACGTAAGCAGATTTTATCATCTCTCAAGTGCAGTCTGAGTAACAAAGTTACTGTCCCGCTGACAAAGTTGAAATCACCAGCCGTTGTTTTATTGGCTTCGGAAATCTAAATATAATCTTTGCTGTATCAGCGCTCGGTTTCCTTTATAACCCCAAGAAAACATTAGTGAACTATTCTGAGAGGAAGGCAAAATCTGTAAAGCTCGCTACAAAAAGTCCAGTGGAGCTTCTGCTTTCCTTACTGCAGTTATATCAGCTAATCACAGCTAGGCTGCAACAGGGGAAGATCAATATGTGTATATAGACACATACACATTTTGCTTGTGGATGGCAGTGGGGAGAGGGTCTAAAATTATTTAGAGACCGTCAGTTCAATATTAAGAGGGTTTTTTTTTAGACAGGCATCAATTTTTTAAGAACAGTAAACTGTAGTAAATTAATAATGATGCTGTTATTACAGCAGAGTAAGGGATTTTTCTTAATCTATTTTTGCTTTAATCTTGCAATTAATATTGTCAAATCGAAGAAATTCACTGCTTAATGGTAGAGGGAGTGCACTATTTAGTAGACATATAATGCCAATGAAAACAGGCATGCATTTTTGTAAGCATGTTGTCATTAGGACATATCTAAAAAAAAAAAAAAACCATGATCATGGGTTGGCAAGCCCTCCCCCCTCAGCGACTCGCAGGAGAAGGCAGGCGCACTCAGTGAAGCGATCGGAAGAGGAAGAGAACCTCTCCATACACCTAAAACACTTTATCTTGCTGAAATACTTTAGGTGTGAAGTTTGTGTCCTCTTTTTGCAAAAAGTAAAGATTTTAATACAAATTTGAAATTTTGATAAATTAACCTTCTTAAACCACCCTGGCTGTCGATCACACAACCGGTCTTGTTACTTCCTTGTTGTTTAGCTAAGTGGAACTAAACTCAAGAGGCAGCTATTGCCCAGAGCACCTGCCTTGTAAAAATACTTCTCATTGAGTTGTATTGGGAATTTTGTGATTGGAGAGTCGCAGTAAGTCTGGGCGGGGTTAGAAGGGGTGGGCTTGCAACGGCTGCAGTCAAGAAATCTACAGCTTTAGCAAGCTGTTTTTAGATATTTTCATTGGTGTATGTCTACTAAATTGTTAAATAAAATATGTTTTCAGTTGGATTAATTGAATTATATAAGTGCAAATCTTACATTGAAATAGTCACCTTTATAAAGTTCTATGAAGATGGATCCTTCTAAGCACCATAACATCAACTATAGCGCACTGTAGTGGTTATGGTGCCGCAAGTTCCCTGGTACCCTCCCATGGTAAGTAGTGAAATTGGTCCAGCTCCATCAGCAAAAACCCCCAACACGCTCAGCCAATTAATTCTGCCCAAATAGGAATGAAACAGATATTTTTAATGTGGAAGGGGAACGCAATGATATCCACAAATGGGACAAGTGTGTCATCAGAGTGCATGAGTCATACCAGGTACTGAAACACTGCTGGGTATTAAACATGGGCTGAGAATATCTGCTCAAATGCTTTTTAGTTTTAAAAAAAATTAAAGAAATAAGGGTTGCGTTCTTAATTCTACAGGTTATGTGTGATGACCCTGTACATAAAATTACTTTAATTATGTGTGTGTGGGCTTTATTCAAAATAATTCTCACTTCAGTAAGTAACCCTGAAATATATTAACATTTGTCAATTTCAATTGTTTTATTTTCCTTTGTATAGTGAAATAGTAAAGAAATATGTATTAGGGGCGGGGCATGACTTTCATGGAGGAGAGACGCATCTCAAGCGAGCTCCTCCATTATCTTGCCCTAGGACGAAATTAACAAGTGCAATCTACACGAATAGTGACTAATCTTGGGATGCGGTTGCTTCCTGACCTACCTGACATGTTTCGCAGAGGTTGGAGAGATGCAGGGAGCTTTCCTACATCCATGTAGCGGGTGCGGCCTAGTGCTCCCTGGTTGGGAGAGGTGGCCGTTATCCCTGTCCAGAGGTACCCAGAAGAAACTACTTAACAGCGCTACGGAATCTGACGGCACTTTATAAATATTATTAATAATAATAATAATGAGCCCCATTCCCCCCCACTGGTGGGTGTGAGGCAATCCAGTACTAGCAGCCATGTGAGTTGAAGCCATCCAAGCTGACAACCAGTGCGACCAACGCAAAAAGACCACATGTCTCCCTATCACCTGCGATGCACAGTCGAATAAAGAGTCCGGGCTACACAGACACTTTGAAAAATTCTGGTAGCAGTTAGAAAGCAGAAAAACCTTAACCAGCACCACTTCAACCACAGGAGTACCCGCACAGTCTACAGGCTCCAGATCCCCATCGGGAATCAACGTTACCGGTGGTGAGGGCCTCAATATAACGGAGAAGCAAGCGGCTCAGCTCACCTGCCCCAAAAGTGACACTGATGCTAGAGGCGACGCAGACCAAGCCCCAAGCCACGGAGAGCCCTGTTCCCGGTTTATGATTTGAACTGCTGGCTTTCACCAGGGCCTAAAAGTCTGAAGCACTCCTTTATGGACGTGGACTGTGCTCTGCCAATTAAAGGCATAGGATGACTGGAGATCTTAGCATGGTTATAGTGGGGGAACTATTAGTTTTATTTGGCTAATTTGGGGACATATTCTCATGCTGTTGCCTAACCTCTTCTTCCCCGATTAGTTCTCAGAGTTCTTAATAAGGGACCTCCCAAAGGGAATTACCTTGCTATCTTCCTTTTGTTTATTTTTCATTTTCTATAATAAAGTGCAATATTTCTTGACATTTCATGTTATGTTGACACATTTTATTGTTGATCAAACTCATGAAAAATGTCTCTGTACTCTTGTTTAGACATGCTATGCACTGCTGAAATAAAGAATGCAAAAAAAAAAAAAAAAGATGTATTTAAGACATATTTATTCCCATGGTTCACAGTTAGCATACCTTTATAAAATGTTAGCTATTTATGGTATTTTGGTGTAATAATAAAAAGGTTAGGTTGGGTTATCAAAATGGGAACAGCGTCTTAGCACAGAAAAGACCAACAACCCCTTGAACGAAGCACCATAACTAGTACAGTGGGATGTAGTGGTTATGGTGCCAGAAGTGGTTTAACACTCCCCCCATGTTGGAGGACAAGCAAAGAAAGGACCAGAGATGGGTGTCACAAGATGGTGACTCTGGAATGGAGGTGAGGGGCGTATCTATCTTGATATTTAACATTTCTTAAATCATGTATCTCTGTGATCTATGGTGTATATTCAAGGTATATGGTGCGATTTAAGGTAAGTTCATATTTTCATTACAGGTTTACATTAACTCTTTGAATGTCATAGGCTATTAGACCTTAAAGGGTTAAACATGAAGAAGTAGGAAAAACAATTTAAAAAAAAGCATTTTCTCGTATTTGAAACTTGTGTATTTATTTTCTTGTGCCGAATCACGCCTGTTGCAGAACACTGCCTCGGCTGTGTCACCAAGAAACTTCCATCTGGAGTTAATTCTGCACAGTTTCTTCCATAAAAGGCAAAGCAGTGGGATAATCCAAACAACATGAGCCCTGTTACTGTAAGAGCCCATCTGGAAGATAGAGCGCACATCCAGACTTTTAACCTCTTCAGCGGACGATAAAAAGACCGCTGCCAATCACAGGGCACAGACAAGAAAAAAAAAAACACAAAAAAACTTGAAACGCTATGGAGCATGCGCTGCATAAACACATAACATTACACCCAAAGTCTCGCCTTGGAAAGTGAGTGATAAAATTCAGCTAACAGCACCACAGCAAAATGACAAGACCATGAAGCAAACTGCTCATGCCACATGTGTGATAAAAATATCATCAAAGTATTAAACCAGGAAAGCTAGATTCAGATGGTCACCAGTTTTCAAGTAGGTCCTGCGGTCCTGACACGGTTATTGCTCAGCTTACTGACCCTACAAAACTGACATCACTGAGCAATGGATTATTGATGTCATGAATAAATCTTGAATACTACCTTAATAAAACTAAATAGATAAAAATCCAAGGGAAACAGAACAAATGAAGTACTGTGTATCCTCTCATGCCAGGGGCACCCCTGCTGGTTAAACAAATAACTGCAGCTCACATAACCTCATCCATTCTTCAATGCCTCCTCTTTACCATGCCAGATCCTCCATCTCCTTAACCCATGGCTGCTCCTCCAACCATGCAGCTCTTACATCCATTACAATGCCATCATCTCCTCCACCCCCACTATCCATTGCCAGCTCCTCCATCTTCTTTATTACTCCAACTGCTCCTTCTCCCTGAATCTGCAACACCTCCATCCCTCGCTTATCCTGCCACCTTCTCCATTCTTTCCGAGCTCCTTCCTCTTCACATCATTAAACAGCCGCTCCATCTCCCCATCACTAACCAGCCCCTCCCTCTTCCCATCACTAACCAGCCCCTCCATCTCTCCATCACGAACCAGCCCTTCCATCTCTGCATCCCTAACCAGCCCCTTCATTTCCCCATCACTAACCAGCCCTTCCATCTCCCTATCACTAACCAGCTGCTCCTTTTCTGCATCACTAACAGTCCCTCCATCACTAACCAGCCCCTCCATCTTCGCATCACTAACCAGCCCCTCCATCTCTGCATCACTAACCAGCCGCTCCATCTCCGCATCACTAACCAGCCGCTCCATCTCTGCATCACTAACCAGCCGCTCCATCTCTGAATCACTAACCAGCCGCTCCATCTTCACATCACTAACCATCTCCTCCATCTTCCCATCACTAACCAGCCCCTCCATCTCTGCATTACTAACAGCCCCTCCATCTTATCATCACTATCCAGCCCCTCCATCTTCCTATCACGAACCAGCCCCTCCATCTCTCTATCACGAACCAGCCCCTCCATAACGAACCAGCCCCTCCATCTCCCCATCACTAACCAGTCCTTCCATCTCCCTATCACTAACCAGCCGCTCCTTTTCTGCATCACTAAAAGCCCCTCCATCTCTGCATCACTAACAGCCCCTCCATCTTCGCATCACTAACATTCGCTCCATCTTCGCATCACTAACCAGTCTCTCCATCTCCCCATCACTTACCAGCCGCTCCTTTTCTGCATCACTAACAGCCCCTCCATCTTCGCATCACTAACCAGTCGCACCATCTCTGCATCACTAACCAGCCCCTCTATCTCCCCATCACTTACCAGCCGCTCCTTTTCTGCATCACTAACAGCCCCTCCATCTTCGCATCACTAACCAGTCGCTCCATCTCTGCATCACTAACCAGCTTATCCATCTCCGCATCCCTAACCATCTCCGCATCCCTAACCATCTCCGCCCCATCCCATCCCTAACCAGCCCCTCCATCTCCGCATCCCTAACCAGCCCCTCCATCTCCGCATCCCTAACCAGTCCCTCCATCTACGCACGCCTAACCAGCCCTTCCATCTTCGCATCACTAACCAGTCGCTCCATCTCTGCATCACTAACCATCCCCTCCATCTCCGCATCCCTAACCAGCCCCTCCATCTCCGCATCCCTAACCAGCCCTTCCAACTCCGCATCCCTAACCAGCCCTTCCATCTCCGCATTCCTAACCAGTCCCTCCATCTACGCACCCCTAACCATCCCCTCCATCTCTGCATCACTAAACTGCCCCTCCATCTCCGCATCACTAAACTGCCCCTCCATCTCCTCATCACTAAACTGCCCCTCCATCTCCGCTTCCCTAACCTGCCCCTCCATCTCCGCATCCCTAACCTGCCCCTCCATCTCCGCATCCCTAAACTGCCCTTCCATCTCTGCATCACTAACCAGCCCCTCCATCTCCGCATCCCTAAACTGCCCCTCCATCTCCGCATCCCTAAACTGCCCCTCCATCTCCGCATCACTAAACTGCCCCTCCATCTCCGCATCACTACACTGCCCCTCCATCTCTGCATTACTAACCAGACCCTCCATCTCCACATCCCTAAACTGCCCCTCCATCTCTGCATCAGTAACCAACCTCTCCATCTCTGCATCACTAACTAGCCCCTCCATCTCCGCATCCCTAAACTGCCTCTCCATCTTTGCATCACTAACCACCCCCTCCATCTCCTATCACTAACCAGTTCCTTCATCTCTGCATTATTAACAAGCCTCTCCATGTCCCCATCACTAACCACCCTCTCTATCTGAGAATGACTAACTAGCCTCTCCATCGCCCCATCACTCACCTATCCCTCCAGCTCCTCCATTTCCCATCAATAACCAGCCCCTCCATCTTCCCATCACTCACCTATCCCTCCAGCTCTTCCATTCCTAACCAGCCCCAACACCTCTTCCATTCATAGACAGCCCCTCCATCTCCTCATCACTAACCATTCTCTCCACTTCCTCCATATTTAACCGGCCCCTCCACCTCCCCATCACTAACCAACCCCTCCATGTCCCATTACTAACCATCCCCTCTACCTGCGCCTGACTTACCAGCTGCTTCATCTCCCCTTCACAAACCATCCTCTCCTCCTCCTCAATTCCCAAGCAGCCAGTCCACCTCCCCATTACTAACCAGCTCCCCCACTTCCTCTATTCCTTTGCCAGCCCCTCCATCTCCCATCACTAGCCATCCTCTCCACTTCTCCTATTTTTAACCAGCCCCTCCACCTACCCATCCCTAACCAGCCCCACCACCTCCCCATTGCTAACCAGCTCCTCATTTCTAACCAGCCACTCCATCTCCCAATTACTAACCAGAGGCCCCATCTCCCCATCACTAACCAGCCGCCCCATCTCCCCATCACTAACCAGCCGTTCCATCTCCTCTGTGCCTTTCCAGCCCCTCAATCTTCCCATCCCTCAGAAGATCCTCCACCTTCTCAATCCCTCATCAACTTCTAAACCTCTTTCTTCCTCAATAATTCCTCCTTTACTTGCCAGCCTATCCACTTCCTCAGCTTTCTCCTATTGGGAACAGTAACTTCTTTTGTGGTTTATTACAGCTATGTTCTATGAATCATTTAAAAAATCAATTCCACCTATCCTTTCCCTTGGCATATAATTTACGAGAATGCTATTTATTGAGTGCAACAATTCATGCTATGCATCTGTAGGTCAAGCGCACATTAACGAGATGAAAATTGTGATGGAACCAAAAGGAATAAAGGCCCCTTTTTCACAATATCACAATGTTAACAAATTGTGTTTTCACAAAAGAACTTTATGTACATGAACACAGTAACGTTCTGTTCCACGAGACAATGGGAAATAAAACTGCTAAGGTTTGCCATCTCTTTTACATGTCAAGCCAATTAGAGGAAAGCTAGACCAACTATCCTTCTGTGTCTGTCCGTGAACCACAGGTAATAATCACTCTTTATGCAAGTCTCTGCAAAATGTCCTGTTGATCCCACTGCTCTGGTGACATGATGCACAGAACAGGTTTAAATTGTCATTCAAAAATGATAGAGACTGTCTGTTTGTCCTGCACAATGTGATGCCAAACTGCTTCCAAACTCAGCTATATTGGCCAAAAATGTGCAATACCTTTAACCCCACCTAGACGACATTAATAATTACAGGGACATAGAATAATTACATGGAGTAATGGTTTTGCCAATTTATCTAAAATGTGAATTTCCGTGGCTGTAGCTCAGGGATTCCTGCCCGTCGGTTAAACAGACTCAGACTGGTTCATTCACCTATTTTTGGGAGCCACTTTGCGCTTAGTTAACAAGGTGCTTTTCCTGCAGCAGATGGAATTTAACCCTTGGAAACAAGTGACCATAGTCTGAGCACCTTCCTTCCATGTTTTTTTCCTTAAAAAATATAGTCCTTAATAGCAAGAAAATAGCAGATTTTTTTTTTGTCAATTACGGAGTCCTCTTTTTACAAATAAAGACTGCAATCCTTGCGACAAACAAAAAATATGTGAAATCATTATTCTTAAGTCCAAACCATAATAATTAGTAAAATAATCAGGTGTATAACTGGCACAAAAAAATATAATGTTCCAGTCAATAAATCTGCACAGCACTCCCTGTCTGTGTTTAAGGATACGCTGTGATGGTTCCTTATAAACCCCACCTCGTGAATTTCGGCCATTTTGTTTCAGTTAACCCATTACTTGAGTCTTCAACAAATGTCTCTATTGTCTGCCACCTTGGAAAATTCTTAAAGGAAACGTTTCAGAATGTGTGAAATTAGAAAGCAAACTGTGCAATGTGCGAAACCCCGTACTTCGTGTCCTGTGAAAAAGTCTTGTATTACCTCTGATGGGGTTTATAAATCGCTAACCCCAGACGGTGAAGTGCATGGCCAATACTGAGGGATAAACAGGCTGCTACACTCGCAAAATAAACACTGCACAGGTTCATGCAACCCCTTGGACTACGACTAATATGGACTACATCTCCCATGACAGCCAGTTAGCCCCTTTGTACTTCGAGAGAGCAAAAAACAAGTTGCAAAAGAGTACTCAGAACAGACAATAGCTCAAGTAGTCTGCCCTTTGGTAAGTCTCCACTTAGATATCAAGCTGGTATTAGCTCATCTTGTGCCATTACAAAAAGAATCAGCCATTTGCATATCAGACTGGCAGTAGTACAGATCCAAAATGCAGACTCTCTCTACACGAGATCCAGCAACCCCAGACGATCGTTTCAACCTTATCAGGCATCGTCAGTGAGTTCTAGCCGATATCCTGCTAGGCACAAGTTGCAAGAGAGTACCTTTGTACTTCAATGAGCTGTCTCTGCCTGCCATATGATAAAATATAGAATATATAAACATGCATAGAAGTTAGAATAACCTAAATTTGACACTGATTTATGGCTTCAGCAGAATTAGAAAATACATTTTTGAGAATTTTAATTTGAACTTGTCCATAAATGTACCTTGTACTTATACAAGTATCATACGCTGGACTGGGCTATCACTGGGTTATCACCTTTGCAAGGTGTGGCAATCAGTAACTACCAATTTGCGGAGACCCCTGCTTCATCATACTCAGTTAAACAAAATGTTCTATTGATAATGAACAGATATTGACCATTGATGATCAGTTTGGGCTAGGTACTATGTTTTCCAAGCGTTTGTATGCCAACACAGCTAATTCTTGTATTGACAACGTCAAGAGGCTCCAGGCAATATAACTAGTACACGGTGCCTTTAATTAGATAATCCATGAATATTGTAAAGTCAGATAATCGTAGAAGAAGCAATTCCTTGCATTCTGAATGGCGTCTCTTTTCAACACAGACCACAATAATCCAAGATGTGCACACTGAGATTTACCCAAGAGGAAAGAAACCTTTTGGCCATATTGAACATGTGAGATTTTATCAGAATTATGAAGTAAGATATTAAAAATGTTTCCGTAAATTATGGTTAAAGCATTTGCTTCCTATCAGGGTGTGTAACACATGCCCCCGCAGGGCACCAGAAGGAGTAAGGGGTATCCACGTGTCATCAGAGATTTATTTTAACCCTCATCCCCACACATACGGGGCAATGGAATAGAATGGTTTAAGGCAGTGGTTCCCAACCCAGTCCACAAGTACCCCCTACTAGTCCAGGATTTAAGGATTACCCGGTTGTATTTTTTTTTTTTTTCTAAAAAAACCTTAGATCCAACTGGGTAATCTCTAAATCCTCCATTGTTAGGAGGTACCTGAGGACTAGGTTGGGAACCACTGGTCTAAGGGACTCACATATTTACTACATGAAGCCATCATCCACGTAAAAAAGTGAAAGGTCAGTCTGTGCCCCTACATACTTTCACACATGGAGTGAGGGAATGGGGGGACCACTGCATTATGTCCCCCAGAATAATAATGAATATTGTAACTTCACCTGTCAACACCTATCATTCATCAGTAGGGATTTGTATTAATCACTCATCACCCATCTATCCTGGCTCTTCTCTGTGATAGGAGATAAGGGGAGGACAGTTTTCAAACCTAGTTTTCCGAGCCCCCAATGTATCTTAGATTTAGGGGCAATTTGGTTGATGATCATCTCAGAATCCCAAAACTGGTTTTCCTTGCATGAACTCCAGTAAGACTCATAAAGTAAACCACTGGAGGTTTTATATGTCTCTTGGGGGAGATCTTACCAGCTTCAACAGGTGGGATATGACCAGCGCAGAGGTTGGATGACAATCCATCACCCCAGCCCACAGAAAGCACTATATATATTGTAGGGCGGCTAAGATAACCATAACCACAAAGTGACTAGAGGAAGGCATTATTAAGCCTGTTAATACAGTATGTGATTAATATATATATATATATATATATATATATATATATATATATATATATACACATACACACACACACATACATACATACATACACACACACACATATATATATCAGGGCAACTCTGGAGTACACAGCATGGTTCTCAGCAAAGGGGGTGATCCTCTACAAAATGTTTCACATGATAATGTCTAGTAACCGTATGATACATTATCCCATGATAAGTCTAGTTACCCCATAATAACGTCTAGTTACCCCATGATATTGTCTAGGTACTCTATGATAAATGTATAGTAATCCCATGATACATTACCCTATGATAACGTCTAGTTACCCATGATACATTATCTATGATAACGTCTACTTACCCCATGATACATTATCCCATGATAACGTCTAGTTGCCCCATGATAATGTCTAGTTATCCCATGATTCATTATCCCATGATAATGTCTAGTTACCCCATAATATTGTCTAGGTACTCCATGATAAATGTATAGTTATCCCATGATACATTACCCTATGATAACGTCTACTTACCCCATGATACATTATCCCATGATAACGTCTAGTTGCCCCATGATAATGTCTAGTTATCCCATGATTCATTATCCCATGATAATGTCTAGTTACCCCATAATATTGTCTAGGTACTCCATGATAAATGTATAGTTATCCCATGATACATTACCCTATGATAACGTCTAGTTACCCCATGATACATTATCCAATGATAACATCTAGTTACCCCATGATAATGTATAGTTATCCCATGATACATTATCCCATGATAATGTCTAGTTACCCTATGATAATGTCTAGTTACCCCATAATATTGTCTAGGTACTCCATGATAAATGTATAGTTACCCCATGATACATTATCCCATGATAATGTCTAGTTACCCCATGATACATTATCCCATGATAATGTCTAGTTACCCCATGATACATTATCCCATGATAATGTCTAGTTACCCCATGATAATTTATAGTTATCCCATGATACATTACCCTATGATAACGTCTAGTTACCCCATGATATATTATCCCATGATAACGTCTAGTTACCCCATGATATCGTCTAGGTACTCCATGATAATGTATAGTTATCCCATGATACATTACCCCATGATAATGTCTAGTTACCCCATGATATTGTCTAGTTACCCCATGATAATTTATAGTTATCCCATGATACATTACCCTATGATAACGTCTAGTTACCCCATGATATATTATCCCATGATAACGTCTAGTTACCCCATGATATCGTCTAGGTACTCCATGATAATGTATAGTTATCCCATGATACATTACCCCATGATAATGTCTAGTTATCCTAGGACACATTACCCAATGATAATGTATAGCTATCCCATGATACATTATCCCATGACAATGTCTAGTTGTATCTCTATGTTTCCCCTATTTAAGTGTTGGATGGATGGGGGAGTCCTGTCAACTAGCAACACTCTTACACATTTAATTTTCTGACATTTTTGTTAATTTATTATGTGAACAAACAGGTTTTGGGAGCCCGTTTCTCAGTCCTAATGACCAAACTGATCTCTAGGGTATAAGATACCGATTTCCTAAGAGATAAAGACTTCTCGTGGTTCAACTGTTTACTACAGGTGGTCTCTTCTCTTCCAATGAAGGGAGGGGGGAGGGATAGCAAAGCCAAGAAATGGTCTATTGTTTAAGGTTTTAGTTTTCCATTTTGTATTTGCAAAATGAGTTTGGAATGTCGATTGTCATACCAAATTGCATAATGTAATCTTGTTTAATTGTTATATTACCACACTTCACAATGCATGATATCAGTGTATGTAATATTATCTGACATTCCTAATAAAAAAAAGGATTCAAAAACAAAAAAACACAACAAATAAACATGTTGAAATGACAGGTTGAGCGCAGACAGATGTTGAAACTACTGTAGAGTTGCAGTGATTTTATCAGCAGACAGCCTGCTTTAGGAATCCAGTCTGATAGCCTCATCAGACAATTTCCTCGCCCTCAGGCACCAGAAACAGAACACAAATCATAGACCTGAGTAACGGATTCTATAACCTGTTTGCATGCAGGAGGATTCATAACCCCCAAGGAGGGGGAATTAATTCAGAAAAGACTATACAAGTGCATTTGGGAGGTCCAATACTAAATGCAGTACAACTCCCATAATTCTTTGACAGCAAAAAAAAAGTGAGAAGTTGACAAAAATATATGGGAGTTATAGTCCGCCATTGACTATCCTTGTCTAGAAAATTATTTGAGAAAAGTAAATCTTATGGTTAGAGGATCATTTAGTTTAAGCAACAAGGGAGAGTGACCCAGGTTAGATTGGGGGTAATGATACACCATGGGGTACACCTTACTAGAGGGATGCACAGCACTGGGTACACCTGTGTAGAGAGCTGCAAAGCAAGGCTGTACACCTGCAGGGAATACATAGCATGGGGTACACCTGCAGAAAGGGAAGCAGAGTACAGAGGTACACCTGGACAGAGGAATACACAGCTTGGGGTACACCTGCAGAGAATACACAGCATGGGGTACACCTGCAGAGAATACACAGCATGGGGTACACCTGCAGAGAATACACAGCATGGGGTACACCAGGATAGAGGGACACAGAGCACAGGGATATGATTGGTGAGTGGAATGCAGATAGTACCCCTGGCTAGATGGATACAGAGGTTTGGGGTACACATAGATAGATGGATACCGAGAGAGGAGCAGTAAGTTATCAGAGGGGGCTGATTAGTAGGAGGAGGGGCATTTAATCAGCAGAGGGTGGGGCAGTAATTAGTGGGGGTAGTTAATTAGCAGAGGGTGGGGCAGTAATTAGTGGGGGGCAGTTAATTAGCAGAGGGTGGGGCAGTAATTAGTGGGGGTAGTTAATTAGCAGAGGGTGGGGCAGTAAGTTATCAGCAGGAGGAGGAGGAGGGGCAGTTAGTTAGTCTCTGCCCCGGGGTAGATTCCCAGGATTGTGGCCCCCGGGGGCCCCTCGCTCTCACCTTCCTTGGCTTTCTTCCTCCGGGCCAGGGTTCCCCCCAGTTTCCCTAGGAATGAATCCTCCTTCTTGCGGGTGGGGGGCGAACGGGGGGTCGGGGATTTTGGGGTGGAGGGGGATTTCTGGGGGGACGTTGCCATGGTAGCGGGTGAGCGGAGATTCCCGGTGCTGGGAGATGGCGGCCGGGAAGGGGCGGGGCTCCGAGGGCGGAAACTGAATCATTCCTGGGATTCAACACCCCGGGCCCTGCCCCAACCTAACCCCCCGTGTGTGTTCCACCCCCGGGCCCTCACCCCCCTCTATCCCTTCGAGTTATCTCTCCCTCCCTCTATCCCCGAGTTGCCCCTCTCCCCCATCCCTCCCCCATCCCCTGAGTTATCTCCTCTCCCTCCCTCTATCATCCCCTGAGTTACTTTCCTCTCCTCCCCATCCCTGAGTTATCTCTCTCCCTCTATCCCTGAGCATTTCTCCCTCCCTCTATCCCTGAGTTATCTCTCCCTCCCCATCCCTGAGTTATCTCCTCTCTCCCTCTATCCCTCCTTCTTCGAGTTATTCCCTCTCTCTCCCCCTCCCCAGTTATATCTCTCTCCCCCCCTCTATCCCTGAGTTATCTCTCTCTCCCCCCCTCCCTCTATCCCTGAGCTACCCCCAAATTATGAGTTGTGCCACCCAGCTTTAAACAATATACCTCTGACCCAACCAAATCCTAGCCCTGAGCTATACACAATGTGCAGTGAGCGAGCTATTGGTGTGTGTGTGACTTTTAGTCAAACAGGTTATATACTATATGGACAAAAGTATTGGGACACATCTCTTAATTATTGAATTCAGGTGTTTCAAGCAGATCCATTGCTGCAGGTGTATAACATCAAGCACCCAGCCGTGCAATCTGCATTTACAAACGTTTGTTAAAATAATGGACCATTCTGAAGAGCGCCGTGAATTGAAGCGTGGTACAGATACATGCTTGTTATATGGAATATACATGCGTAAAGATTACACATTGGTAAACATAAGTATTAGAAAGATATAACTTGTATTTCGTACAAATCCGTAGCTAGAGCCAAACTGAATTCTTGCGGAGCCTGTGAAAGCAGAACTATGCACATACAATACTTGTACTTCGAATAAGGGAAGTGGGATTTGTGGTTTTAAATAAAGTACATGACAATTAAAGAAGTAGTGATGGTTATTTCCTTTAAATAAGGCCGCAAATAGCAGAGAACAAGTAATTTATGGCTTGAATATTATTGGGTTTCAGTTATTCCAATAAAAGATTTTACTAAACTACAACTTGTACCGTACAGCAAAATTGAGGCTAAAATGGCTATTTTGAAATAATTCTTCCACTACGACATAGGTATAGTTTAGATATTTTAGCCTCAATTTTATAATTTGGATTTTAATTCATTACCGTTTAGAGTATAGTAAATAACTGTGTATTTATTTAATTTTGTATAAATATATTTTTTTAATCTTTCAGAAACCATTAAAGGACCACTATAGTGCCCTGAGGGTGCCCCCACCCTCAGGGACCCCCTCCCGCCCGGCTCTGGAAAGGGAGAAGGGGTAAAAACTTACCTTTTTTCAGCGCTGGGCGGAGAGCTCTCCTCCTTCTCTCCTCCTCCGTTCCGCCCCGTCGGCTGAATGCGCACGCGCGGCAAGAGCTGCGCGCGCATTCAGCTGGTCGCATAGGAAAGCATTTACAATGCTTTCCTATGGACGCTTGCGTGCTCTCACTGTGAAAATCACAGTGAGAAGCACGCAAGCGCCTCTAGTGGCTGTCAGTGAGACAGCCACTAGAGGATTAGGAGGAAGGCTTAACCCATTAATAAACATAGCAGTTTCTCTGAAACTGTTATGTTTATTAAAAAATGGGTTAACCCTAGCTGGACCTGGCACTCAGACCACTTCATTAAGCTGAAGTGGTCTGGGTGCCTAGAGTGGTCCTTTTAAATCTGTTTTCATGGCACTGCAGAACCCTGCAGTGCCCCTCTCCCTCCCACCCCCATCTCATGTTGCTGAAGGGGTTAAAACTCCTTCAGTGACTTACCTGAATCCAGCGCTGAGTGGATCATGCTCCGCCCACGCTCCTCCCCCGCCGACATCAGCCGACGGATGAGACCTAATACGCATACGTGGCAATAGCCGCACGTGCGCATTAGACCTCCCCATAGAAAAGCATTATTCAATGCTTTCCCATGGGGATTCCGGCGACGCTGGAGGTCCTCACATAGTGTGAGGATGTCCAGCGTCGTTTTAAAACACTTTTCATGTTCAAAGAACACGGAAGTCCCTCTAGTCTAGTGGACTTAACCCTGCAAGGTAATTATTGCAGTTTATAAAAACTGCAATAATTACACTTGCAGGGTTAAGGGTAGTGGGAGTTGGCACCCAGACCACACCAATAGGCAGAAGTGGTCTGGAGTGTCCCTTTAACTCACATTTTGAAATAATTATTCATTAGATTTAAAATGATGCTGAATGTTTCCTAATTGTCGAGATATAAATTGACCTTCCAATATCACGCACACATGTCACAATTACGGCAGTTTTTTCCTCATTTGGCTATTTTTCATTTTTAGGTAAGTTGTAAAATTGAATTTGCACTGAGCTGCTAGTGGCTGAAGATGATTTATGCAGTAATAATCCATGAATGAGGAGATCAATTAGACAAAAATGATGTGCTCCCAGGGTTGGTTACAAACTCAAGGGCTGATGGGCTTACGTCTCCCTGGTTACGGACAACCACGAGAGGTACATTGTGCTATAAAATGGGAAATATGGGGTATTACAAATGTAATTTTAAAAAAAGCAAGCAAAAAATGACCTTACACATGTAAAGTAGCTAATAATATATAGGGTAGAATTTATACTAAAGTGAAAAATAAAGTGTCAGCTTCACTTTAACATAAATTCCACCCAAATGCATTGAATGCATTATATGTTACCGAGATACATGACTTCTTTGCTGTAAAATATTTCTATAAACTAATTTTCAATCCATACAAACACAATGGATGGAGCAATTATTGTTCTTTCCTCTTCTCCAATATATAGCTGCAGAGATAGAGAAATATACAAAATAGTGTAGACAGTTCACAATATGTATTAAAGTGCAATAAGTGCAAGGGAACACTCACAAAATCAGAGCCAAGGAACCTGGCTCTGGTATAGATGACTTCTGGATCTATTATAGGGTGATCCTGACCCTTCTGTAGCTGGTGAGATCTCCAATAAGTAGAAGAGGATCCAGAGGATGGAATGAAAAGTAACTTTATTACATAATCAATGTCACATACTGATCCCAAGATGAAATTCAGGGATAATGTTCATGTTCCTCAATCCACCACCAACAGTAATGCCAGGGCCTCTTGGAGTCTTACTACTTCTTCGTATTAAGACTCCAAGAGGCCCTGGCATTACTGTTGGTGGTGGATTGAGGAACATGAACATTATCCCTGAATTTCATCTTGGGATCAGTACGTGACATTGATTATGTAATAAAGTTACTTTTCATTCCATCCTCTGGATCCTCTTCTACTTATTGGAGATCTCACCAGCTACAGAAGGGTCAGGATCACCCTATAATAGATCCAGAAGTCATCTATACCAGAGCCAGGTTCCTTGGCTCTGATTTTGTGAGTGTTCCCTTGCACTTATTGCACTTTAATACATATTGTGAACTGTCTACACTATTTTGTATATTTCTCTATCTCTGCAGCTATATATTGGAGAAGAGGAAAGAACAATAATTGCTCCATCCATTGTGTTTGTATTGCATGTACTTTTGTGTTGGTATAGGGGATACCACACGGGTGTTTGAGCTATTATAGTCACTTATTGTGCCATTTGCATTTGTAGTATATAATTTTCAATCCATGTCTTCAGCGTTGTGGATGTTGTGTGATTACAGTCTGGTCTCCTTCATCCGCAGTGTGCTTTCATTTCCCCAAGCAGGGCAAACAATAACAACCACAGGGCGTGCGCTGTGAGAAGTCTCACCTGCTCTATTTTTTTTTTACATAGTCTATGCCAATAGATTGACTGACAGGTGGGAGGACGTCTGCTAGAATGTTGTTTTGGTAGAATTTTATACTCTACAAAGCGCGTGAGTTGTCTGTGTCTCCCTCTCTTAGAGGAGGATCTTGGACAGATTGGGCGCTCGGGGATGGCATTATTGTGGGAACGTGGGCACGGGAATAATATATTTTCACTGTTCTTGTTGTCCTGGTGCCAAGTTGTCCATCCTCTAATTAAATTATCAGCTCAGGCACCAAAGCACCGAGTATGTTGCAATTCTAATGTTCTCCCTGGGAACCTCCTGTTGTGACCCCTGGCATAAAAATGTGACCGTGTGACAATAAAATCAGTTCTCCTTCACTAAGTCTCAACCAGTGTTTGAGTGAGACCGCTATAAACACAGCGGCAAGGAGCTTAACCATTCTGGGCTGTAAACACAAGGGGAAGGGGACTTGGCGGTTACAACCCAGCTACTCATGGGTATACAGCCACAGGTAACGGTCACTTCTCTTACCAAAACACACAAACCTGAAGTAGACACATTTTACTGAAATCACATTGCTAATAAATTCATCGTTCTGCCTTTGACTTTAGTTAGTTTGAACATTCTGAAATAATGCAAGGAGCAGTTTAATATATTTTTTAAAGTGTGTATGGAAGTGTAGATTGTGCCAAGAAATAAAGTAATGGTGTTCTAGATGTTTAAACCTGCAGCTGTTACCTCTGGAGTTCGATAAGCACATGTGATGGCGCAATGTGAACCAATATGACAGACGCTATCAGTCGCCATTCCTCGCATTACCTGTAAATATCATCAACATATGCAATGCTGGGATCACTGTGCTCTGGCTGTACAGTTTTCATGGGTTCCCTGTATTGCCCGGTAAGTTTGGGCCAAGTAGGCACCTACCATGCAGTGAAAGTGAATTTAAAATTGTTGGCCAAAGTAGCCAAACTGAAAAAAAAGTCTGTCTTTTGTTTTTACAATTCTTTTCTTGTTTTGACCTAAAACTTCACTTTGAACTCCTATGACATATGACAATTTAGTGAATCATAAAGTAATTTATTTATCGTGGTCTTGCTGGCTACCGCAGGAGAATTACCGAGGACATAGGAATGCATTTGTTATCTTTAAATATGTCTTCATTGGCAGTAAGTGGGCCCTGCATTCAACTGGCAACATTTACATATGACATTAATTAAATTGACCAGTTTGTCTTCTAAAGCACCCAGAGACTCCACG